ATATGGACAGGTAAGGGATGGATGGATGGATGGACGGACGGAGATATGGATGGACAGGTAAGGGATGGATGGATGGATGGACGGACGGAGATATGGATGGACAGGTAAGGGATGGATGGATGGATAAGTAGCTAGATGGGTGGAAGGACAGACAGACCAATGACAGACAGCCAAGTAGATAGGTGGGTGGATGGATGGATGACAGACAGGTAGTAGTAGGTAGATGGATACATAGACAGACAGATGGATAGGCAGGTGGGTGGGTGGATGGACAGACTGACCAACCAAGGAGGTGGACAGATTTTGAGCTGTAGAAGGGACATCCGCTTAGTCTCAGGTGCTGAGCCCAGAGGAGAAGTTTAGGGGACTCCTGAGAAAGGTGGACCCCCAGGGGCCCGCTCTGCTCACCAGAGGTCCTTCTCCAGGGCTTTGACCCGGCTCTGGAGCTGCTCGTTGGTCTCGTGCTGCTCCTCCAGCTCCCTCAGGGCCTTCTTCCGCGCTGCCTCCAGCCGCTCGATCTCCTCCTCTGCCTCGTCCACCTGCCGCTTCAGCGCCTTGACCCTCAGGCTCAGCTTGGCGAGGGAGAAGAACAGGCCCACGGTGAGGGTCAGCCCCCCAAAGCCGAGAGGTGGGTTGGAGCCTCCCCCTCTCCCTCGCCCATGTTTGCGAATTCGCCAATTCCCAGCATGCTCTGGGGCCGAGATTCTTAGGTGGGCCACTTCTTGGAAGTTCTCCATCCCTGATCTGGAGAGTCTTTGGCAGGAATCACAGGCTCCAGGCTGTGATCATTGATCAGGCTAACTAAGCCTTGCTTGGTTTAGGGTTGGGACAAACCGTAACGCCACCCGTTAAGCCAACATCAGGGAACGGTTTGGCTCAGAGCAAAACCCAACCTTCTCCAGATCTTGTGCAGGAGATGCCCCCGTTCCCCCGATCCCCATCTCAGCTGCTGGGGATCGAATCCTTTCCAAGACACGTTTGTGAGTCGCGACACGCCTCACACCACCAGAGCTCCAACCTTCCCAGCCTCCCACCTGGGCAGCGTCTCACCTGGTCCTTCTGGTCGTTGACCTGCTGCCTCTCTTCGTCAATCTGGATGCTCAGCTCCTTCATCTTCCTCTCGAGTTTCCGGTTGGAGGAGAGCAGGACACTTTTCTCCCTGTGGGCACACAAGGCTCAGGTCATTCCCAGGCCCTCCCGGCCCATCGGACAAATGGCCTTGGGGGTAAGGCAAGCTGGGATCCCTGGATGTGATCCCAGGAAGCTTCCCGGGATCAACCACACATTCATGGCGTGTGACAGGAGCAGGCAATTATCTCAAAGAGAGGCCAGAAACCACATCCTCGTTACTTCGTGTTTCAGCCACGGATGGAATAAGCCGCTACTTTACGGAATTAAAAGCCTGTCCGATGATGAACACCACAACTTGGTTGTGATTTTGTTTTGTGTCAGGCGCGCAGCCGTCTCTTGCTTTGGATCTTTGGCCTGCCACGCTTCCTATTATTCCCCCTGTGCATTTTCCATTGTGGGGAAATGCGAGAGGGGATTGTACCGAGTTAGACGACATGCAGCCATAACAACATTCTTTCTAGAAAGCCAAGGTCATCCTTTGTCTCTGCACCCTCTGCACCTGGCCGGATCCGGGCGGGTGGAAGTGGGACGGCCTCGGGAGACCGGACGTACCAGGTGAGCGAATGTCGCGAAGAGAACGCGCGGAGGGGTTTACCTTTCTTCCGCCAGGAGTTTCTCCTGGAGTTCTTGGATCCGCGACTCCAGCTGAGAGACGTTGACGCTGGACTTCTGCAGTCCTTCATTGCTGGTCAGCCGGCTTTTGAGATCCTTGTTCTGGCAACAGGAAAGGGGGGGGGGGAATATGATAGAAAGTGAGCAGGAAGGAGTGGGGAAGTTTAGAGGGGATCCCTCCCCACTTCCCCTCAAATCCTTCCATTCTCTCTTAAGACGGCAGCGGGAAAGGATCGCTTAGGAAAAAATAAAACGGGTCGATAAAACGAGACCCAAAAGTGGGATGTGGGAATGACCTTGAAGGACGGAGGAATGAAATGCTGATTAGGGAAAAGGGAACTCGGAGCCCTCAGCTGTGTAATGTGGGGAAAGGAAATATTTCTCAGGCTGATAAAGGAGACAATGAGAGATATATATCCTTTTAGACCTGCAAGGACATGTGTAGCCTTTACAGTAAAATACTTATTTATTTTACAGTAAAATAGGATCAGGATATGTGCCGGCTCTACCTGGGAAAGGTGACAGCTGAAACCCACAGCTGCATTTGTGTTTCTTGAAAAATCAGGAGCAAAGCCAAGTTTTTTTCCCCACCATCTTCCTTATTATTATTTCCTCTTTCTGCACAGAAACGTAAAATCAATCCGGAGACAGAGGCGCCTCCTTAAAACACCAAGGAAGGGGGTGATTCCCCCCCCCTCCTAAAACACACAGAACTTCCATCCCCCTGCAAGGGAGATGGGCGGCTGGAAAATGCGATAAATCAATCAATATTATTCTGCCCGGTGCAGCTTGGCTCACTGGCTCGAGTTACTCAAAGCCGTTCCGCCGAGCGGAGCGATTCGGGCCCGATCAAGGCATGCTCAGAGGCTGCCAAATGCGCAGGGGGGGAGGAGGGGGGGCGTCGGCGTGGTCGCAGAGACGCCAGGACAAAGCGAAAGGCAGCGTGAAAAATTCGGCCGAGTCCATACGTCACAATTATAAACAACAAGCCTACAATTAAAACGTAAGATTGTGTAATTCCTGTCTGACTTCAGTAAAGAGAAAGAGAGAGAGAGAGAGAGAGAGAGAGAGAGAAATCTCTCTTCTTCATCTCCTGGGTTATATAACAGGCATTTATTATTATTATTATGTTTATTATTATTTTGCAGCGAACTGTGGCCAGATGGAACAAAGGGGGGGGGGGGGGGGGGGG